TTTTTTTTTAAAAAAAATAATAATAAAATGTAAGCACATACCATCTGTGGAGCTGGAGGTACAGGAACAGTATTCCACGTAGTTGAGGTGCTTGTTTTTGCTTGCCAGTTGTTACCCCCAGTCAGTTTCTTCTCTGTAGGCTGATTCCACTGCATATCAGATCTAAAGGGAATTTGTACAAGAAAAGCAGTTTTATTCAGCAACCCAGCAAGGCTTCTGCCACATTCTCATCATTACAATTAGGAGCAAGTCAGAAAAACCTCTGAACAAATGCTTGCATTCCTCAGATTCGTTGATTTGATTCATTCCACCTTTATAACTCAAGGTGCCAAATACCTCTGCTTCCTCCACAAAGCCCTGCAAGTTGGGTTGGGTTGAAAGAACAGGACTGGTCCAAAGTCACCCAGCAAGCTTTCATACCTAAGGCTGGACTAGAACTCAATCAATCAAATCTTTACTACAGACACAGACTAGCATAAGAAGAGTTGAAATATTTTTTTTTTATAATAATGTTTCAGCTATTTAAAATGTTTGCGTATTTCTTTCTTTTTTTAGCTTTTAAAATTATTGTTTGTATTCTATCCTTCTTAAGTTGGTCTGTGTCCATAAAAAAGATTTAATTACTTGATTGGACTGGAATTCATTCTCCTGGTTTCTAAGCTAGCACCTTAACCACCACGTGAAACTTTATTTTTGGTAAAAATAGGTATGAAAAAGTGGTGTCGTTTTGTTTTAATATACATTTTTGCTTGGAAAGGAACTGGATAGAGGGCATTTTGGTTATCATTTAATTTACCTCAGAGCCTCTCCTACCACTATGCATCAAATTGTGGGCTGGACCAAGAGAAAATAAATAAACAAATAAATAAGTAAATAAATAAATGGCATTCAAAATTTGTCCAACCCCATATTAATGCCTAGGCTTCTTTTCACGGCCATTTTGATCACATCTCATGCCCCAAATTTCTGCAAGCCAGGCAAAATAGGAAGCCAAAAATTTATTATGAATTTCAGAGATCCAGTTGTTGCTCATAATCAGCTCAACCACCTGAACATTTTGGAGATGGGTATAGTTACAGTTTTCACTAAAGTTGGAACTCCTCACCGTGTTTCCCCGAAAATAAGACAGGGTCTTATTTTCTTTTTATCCACAAAATATGGCTTGAGCCTTATTATTAAGGGAGGGGTTTATTGTTTTGGGGTAGCTGGGCAGCTGCTCTCTTGCGAGCGGGCTCCCAAAGAGCCGGGCACAGCCTCAGGAGCGAATGGCTGTGTTGCGCTGTTGCAGCAGCGCAACACAGCAACCATGACACGACCACACTCATGAGCAGCCACCCGGCAAACCCCCTTTCCAGCTGGGCACAGCGCCATTAACTGACCTAGGGGTATCGCCAAGCCGCGTGAGCGCCTGTTTGCCACCACCCGGCTCCCACGGCTTGGCGCCTTCGAAATGGCAGTGAGTGGCGCTCCGCACAGCTAGAGAGGAGGGGGTTGCACGAGTGGCTGTTCGCTCTCGCTTGCGTGACTCCCAGCCTCAAGATGTCCTGGCCGAGCTCTCTCCGCAGAGCCTGGGCACCTCCATTGATGTTACTGCCGCCGCCGCAAGGCTTTTACTGCGGCTTCCAAACCGAGTTTTCCAGCAGTGGCCGCTCTGGGCGTATGCTCTATGGTTGTGGGCCAGCTGCCGGTAGAGCAGCCCATGAGGCTGTGCCCGGTTCTTTGGGAGCCCGCTCTCAAGAGAGCAGCCACCCAGCAACCCCCCTCTTCAGCTGGGCACAGAGCCGCTCACCAACCTAGCGGTATCCCGAAGGCACTAAGTAACGCGATCACCTTTGCCTCCCTCCCGGTTCCCATGACTCGGCACCTTCGGAATACCTCTAGGATGGTGAGGTGGGGGATTGTGCAGGGGGCTTATTTGCGGGGGAGGGCTTATATTTTTGTCCACCAGAAAAATGTGGCATGGCCTTATTTGTAGTTTGCTATTTACATACAAACTGTTGGTCCTAGAAAAACACTACCACATTCTGAATACCTGTATATACAGCATAATGTATAATATATATACAGAAAACCCGTTTGTTTAACTGACTACAGGGGGGTGGGGGAGATTGTTAGAAGAAAACATCCGTTAAGCATACATATTTAACATACTTTGTATATCCTATGCATGCATAAAATGGAAGTTTGCACATGAGCAGAAATATGTAGTGCATGGACAGGTATTTTTCTGCTGCATTTGAAGTTTGCTAAATGGAAAAGCATTACACATTGAGGCCTTTGGTGTGTTAATGCTTGCATGTATTTTTCCCCCTCAAGGTTAAAAGGAATTGGTTGAATACCCCCCAAATTCACAAACTTTTCATTTTCACTGTTCAAATGATGCTATTCAAGTGGGTAATTTTCTGATTATGAGATCTCTATTTGATCAACTAGAACAGAAACCTACTAGCAAGCAGTTGACTATGTGCTTTTAACTGGCTGTAAATGTTCAAGTATGTTCACTTAGGCATTACTTTGGCTAAACATGAAACGTTACAATATTTGTTTCAACATAATGTAGCAATCTTTTTCAACTGCTGGCTTCCTATAATTATTCTGCTGCAGTGATCAGATTGTGGAAAGCCGGATTAAAAATATCAACTTAAATTTAAAAACTGTTTATCAATATATAAGCAATTATTTTGAGATAAAAAAATATGTATGTGTTCTCACTTTTTGGGTGGTGTCCCTCCAAATCCAAGATCTGCAAGAAAACCCATCAAAATAATTTAATTTTTAAAAAAGGAGGATTGCTTTAAATAACAAATGTGGAAATACATTTTTTTAAAAGCTTTGTACTTACTTCCTACTAGATTAGCAAGTGATGAGTCAAGGTCATTGGCCAAAATCCTTCCACTTTGTTGCCCAATTACATTTCCTCTCTGATTTTGTGCAGCTACTGTTGGTTGTAATACATCATCTGAAAATTAAGGGTAATTCATTAAGAATTAAATCACGCACAGGCAATTTTATCTTGGCCTCCTAAAAATATAAGATACATAGAACAGAATTGGAATGGACCCTAGAGGTCTTCCAGGCCAACCCCTTGCTCGAGCAGGAGACCTATTTCAGACAAATGGCTGTCTAGTCTCTGCTTAAAACCCTCCAGTAATACGACACCCACAACTTCTGAAGGCAACTTCTGTTCCACTGCCTGATTGTTCTCACCTTTAGGAAATTTCTCCTTAGTTCTAGGTTGCTTCTCTCCTTGGTTAGATTCCATCCACTGTTCCTTGTCTTGCCTTTTGGTGCTTTGGAATATGTTGACGCCCTCCTCTTTTTGGCAGCCCCTCAAATATTAGAACACTGCTATTATATCTCCCTAGTCCTTCTTTTCACTAGTGTAGACAAACCAAATTTCTGCAATCATTCTTCCTAGGTTTTAGCCTCCAGTCCCTCATCATCCTTGCTGCTCTTCTCTGCACTCTTTCCAGTGTTTCAATGTGATCAATCTCATTCTTTCATAGTAGAATTTTCAATCTTTTCTTTTTACAAGTAAGGCAGGGATGTGCAGTCACTAGAGGCAGGGGAGGCGGGGCCTCACCGGTCTCCTCAGGAAAAGGAAAGAATTTTAAAGATTTTTTTTTAAATAATTAAAGCCAAGGTAGTTGCTACCAGACTCCAAGTCACA